CAGTATTATGTGGTGTGCCCCGCTACAGTGCCCATTGCACCGAAGTATAGCAAACCATAGTATACCAAAGCAGTATTATGTGGTGTGCCCCGCTACAGTGCCCATTGCACCGAAGTATACCAAAACAGTATTATGTGGTGTGCCCCGCTACAGTGCCCACTGCACCGAAGTATAGCAAACCATAGTATACCAAAACTGTATTATGTGGTGTGCTCTGCTGAGTTTATTAAAGATAAAGATATGCCAATTTACACAGATTACTAACTTATGGGTGTCACAAAATGCATCTCAATATTTTAGCAGCACTACTATACTAGTCTACTTACTAAATTATGGGTGTAAATAATGTCCGATTAGTACGAAAAAAAGCTGACGTGCAGCCAAATGCTTCGCCTGTCATCTGAAGCCTTGGTGATTATCGTGCATGTGCGATATAATATCGGTATCGCCCAGCCCTACTTTTAAGCAATTCAGTTCAAGAAGCTGTTAACATCAGGGATGCCTGTCAGCCAGCTATGGGCCATTCTGTCTGCTACAGTCATCGCTCTTGCAGCTACATGCCACATCAGCATTTTGTCAGATGGGGAAATAACAGCCCCACCTGCTATACACCCAAGTGGAAGCCTGGTAGCTGTAGCTTGAAGCAGCTGCGGCGTTTTGAAATGAGATACACTGGGAGGCAGCCTTTCCCAAAATAATTCAAGGGCCAGCCTGGCATCATCATCACAACAAAATTTAATACCTTCATTAAGGCCCTTAACAACTAACACCATATTTTAAAACCACTAATTGCCATCACATGACATATTATTTATTTGCTTAGTAGATGGTCTGATCCAGCTTACAGTTTCATTTAAACAGCAGACTTGCTGCACGGAGTACCGCAAAATTAGCTGTGGGTTTGCGTCCAGGACTTATACCTGCGTTCATATCTACCCCTCCCTCTGCCTGCCATGAGGCGACAGTCATTACTTCACCATGCATTACCCCGAGACCTTGTGTTTTCAAGCCTGTTTCCTCCAGTACCATGCAGCCAGACGTGCTGGTCCTCACAACAGCGGCAGAGCAGGCTTTCCCAGCAATGCGGATGACAGAAGCATGGCATTAAAGCGGGTGGAGATGCTAATGCGATGCCCACTGCGTGACCTCCACTGTGCCTCCAGCAAAAAAAAAAAAGGGGGATAATCAGCCCCCCACCCCACGGAAACGGCTGCACGAGAAGGGCGGGGTCCCCAGCACAGCCCTTTCCCGCAAAGCTGCAGGGGAGAGCAGAGGAGGTAGTGACACCCCCCCCCCCAGCCACAACAAAGAGGCCACTCCAGCCAAACAGCCTCCCGCTTCCCAGCATAAGACAAAGACTGCAGTGTGCAAATCACCTCACAACAACCTGCCACAGTGACGTGCGCTCTGAGCGCCCTAATGCACACACTTCCTCAGAGCCGTCCATTAACCCAAGGATTCAAACTGGTGAAGCACACTGATCCATATCTATGAATCTGTACTAAATCTGCCTGCTTTGTTCAGTTCTTTGAATATGGAAACAATTACAGCAGGCTTTTAGTATGTGTTTTTTTTTTACCCACGCCTTTACCAAAGTGACAGGTATGACAGACATCTTTATCCTGTCTGTCAATTACGGTAAAGTACTTCTTTTCTACCCAATCCCCTATTCACTTTCTTGATAACAATTGTAAATGTGACCTTTGTTTTTCTTTTTTTTTTTCCCCCCTCTGTGGTTGCTTCACAAGTACAGCCACATTTTTCTAAGTAAGTGTGGGCGTGATGTATGATGTATGTCTGTGGCTGCGAGGGGCCAGGCAGCACAGCTGGGCCTCACTGCCCACTGGCAGACCGTTAGAAGAACGGCCTGTGGAGCTGGATGATTCTATAGGAGGCCTTGCTTCTGCGCCTTCTTAAGTTCACTCAGTGCAAACGTTAGTATGTGTGAGGCTGAAATCGCTTGCTAAGCAAGTAGGCGATAGATTAAGACGTTAGATTTCCCAGCCCCCACTTCAGCCCAGGCACATGCAGCCCTGCTGAGTCGCCTCCAGAAAGCTTGCAGCCTTCACTGGGCCATGCTATCGGCGAATCTTACTTTGCCTTTGGAGGCTTTGCAGGGAGTCACATGGCACATGCAGTCTTGGGGCTCACCCCTGGTGGAGCTGCTGAGTCGTCTGCAGAAAGCCTGCAGCCTCCATCGGGCTGTGCTACCATCTGTCAATCTTACTGTGCCTGTGGCGGCTTTGCATGGACTCGCTTGGCACATGCAGAGCAGCGTGGACTCGTGTGGCACATGCAGAGCGGTGTGTGTTCTCAGGCCACGTGAAGATAAGGCAGACTGTGCTCACAATAATTTCACCGCTTTCATTTCCTGTTCAGTAACATTGCTTTATTTTATCCCTGAACTCTGTCCAAGCTTTTCCTTTTTTTCCTACCATAAGAAGAAAAAGAATTGCCAGCATTACAAAAAAAACCTCTGAACTCTGAAACAGAATTTTAAACCCTGTGAAAAGGGTGACTGCATTCAGGAATTTCCCATCTGAAGTATGTGCATGATACAGGCTTTGATGTCTCCATTCTATATACATGAACTGCATAAAGCCTGCAAGCTCTGAATCTGGACAAGACACTGCACCTTTCAAGAAAAAGATCCCCCACTTAAATTCAGATGACTGTCCTGCATCTCTGAGCAAGAGCTAGATTGCAATGGCAGCTTTCCATGTTTTAATAAAGGAAGCTAAGAAAAATGGAGCGCTAAGTGATAAAACTTAGTAAAACTTGTACGTGTGCAAAAGTGATAATTTTAGAACCTGAAGCAGAAGCAGACTGTCTCAGGGTCCCTTCATAGTCTCTGACCACAGGGCTTCCAGTAAAGCCTTAGCTTTGACTTTTAAGGTTTGGCAGTAGAGTGCCAAGTTCCGTCACAGCCAGGGCAACTTGCATTCACGTGACCTACCTGGGGGCCAGGATCTCCACGACACAGTCCTAAAGCCACTCAGAAGAAGTTCTTGATGAATGGAGTGACTAGCTTGACCCAAAGTTTGACATGGCGGTCAGGATGCTTGAATGTGGAACTGGATACCTCTGTGGACCTCCGATATAATGTTTCCTGCTCCTGAGGAGACAGAGAGGGCAGAAGACAGAAGATCACTCTTGTTTCCTGCTACTACACTAATGGCCAAACCTTGTTGTTATTTTTACTCCGGGTTACTGCAGATTACAAAAATCCAAAAACCAAACAATGAACCATAAATAAACAGGAAGGCTTTACAGCACAAATTAGTATTCAGGAGCAGCATTCATTTGGAGGCTTTACATCCTTGAAATGAAGGAGTTTTCCCCCACATCTCTCAATTGCTGAGTATCTGTGTATGAGTTGTGATTCAATGCTTAAGACACCATGGAACACTAGTGAGATCATCCCTAAAAATATCTATATTGTCCGGCAACCATTAGAATAGAGCAGAGGGCCCACAGACATCATCTGCAGAAATGCATTGACTCCATTTGATTCTGCAAGTACGTACACAAGTACGATTTATTTCCATAGACAACAAGCACCCTTTGTGACCCTCACTTGCTGCTTTAGGGTTGAAGTTAAGTACATTACGTTGGTACTTCTGACTGCATGGTATCATCTATACCATCTGTTTTGAGATGTCATAGGTTGGCACACAAAAGCCTGTTATAAGACTGTCAGAAAACTGCATCAAACTGGTACAAACACCTCAGCAGACCAGCAGATAGCATAGTGACGAAGGACATAACTGTTGCAGCTTTAAATCCTATGGAGGACAAACATTTCTGCAGTACACCTAAGTACTTATTCAAAACAATAACAAGAATATATATTATAAATGAATTTGACAAACAAGGTAACTGAGCCCCTTCTCTGTGTTAATAACTGTGTTAACAAGGATTGCACTACGGTCCAATTTAACAAAAATATCTAAATACTGTATATAGTTTGATAGGTAAACAAGTCGTAAATGTGATGCTGACACCCCAATAATACTATTACACACATAGAACCGAAGGCACGCACAGCACTGCAAATCAGCTTTGTGTCACAGCGTATCTCACCGGCTGGCTACTCCAAGTGGCACTGAAGCCTGGGGTGTGAAACAGTGCTGTCACCACTGCCTTTGTCAAATTGTCAGGGCCCCCCCCCCCCCCCCAACCTCAAATATTTTCAGCAGTTGTGCTGCTTCCACTTAGCAAAGAGTCATAAAAAACGGCTCCCTGGTTAGGCGGGCATGAACTGGCTGTGTGGGACACCCAGAGCGCAGGCATCGCTCCCAGCCTGCTTCCCAGAAAGCAGCCCCTCCCCAGCCACCAGCACAGCCTCCAAAGTGACGCCAGCCGAGCAGGGGAGGGGATCAGAGCCAGACCCAGGCACAAACGCACACAGACCACATGTATGCGCTCACACACGCACAGTAAAATACTGACAGACCCAGCACCCAGATGAAAGTGAAGCAGGCAGACGGCAGCCTTGCCTGCTGCAACTGGGCCTGCAGTCCCTCGTTCTCAGTCACTATGGCAACCTGGGCTTCCAGATCTCGGTGGACAGAGCGATAGCCGAAGTTCGGGGACCCGATGAGGGTGAGGCATGGCCGGTGGCTCCCACGCAGGTAGTACCATAACCCTGCAGGCGAGAACAAGCACAGGGAGGGACAAGCGTCAGGGTGCCCTAAACTGCTTTCATATAACATCCCCTGCAGGGATGCAAGCAGAACTACCTACGCCCAAGATGCAGCAGAATGAAGAGTGACCACCTAGATGAAAGACACATGTAGACCAAAATCCTCAGAAGTAAGCAGCAGGCCCAAGACCAGTAAGTCAACCGCGTCCCAGAGAGTGATCAGTTTCACCCGAGCCAGACCAGACCCATTCGAAGAGCTCACATTTTACCCCTGAGTGGGACCACTGTACTGTTTGTCACTACAGGATCGGAGTCAACCATGGATGTGAGTCACAAATGCACCAGTGTTGAAAGGCAAATACAGAAGCAACTAAAAGCTAAATACAGACAATTAAAGGTAATTAGCTATTTTATGAAAATTTATGCAAATACATGAGATGGACCTTAACTTTATAAAACTGGATGCAGGTTTGGCAGATGGTCTAAAGTCCTTTATTTCTTGAATAGTTTAATACTTTAATAGATTTACACGGTTGACACAGAACAACAGCACGTGTGATTCAAATCCACAGTTGACTCAGGTCCTGTAGAACACTGCTAACCACCTGACACGATAAAGCTCAACTCTGTACTATAGCAGCAAGTCAGTGAAGTGGCAGCTGCAATCAGCAGACAGAATAGGAGCAGCTCATAGTGTCACCAAACCAAAGTAGCAGCTCGGGCAATGGTACAAAGTCCTGCTGTTGATCTGAAAGCAGGAAGGAAACCTACCCTTTCTGTCCGGAGAGGATGACTGAAGAGCATGACGATTCACATGTACTCAATCAAAGCAAGAGTACATGTCCCTGGAGCAACTCAGGTCAAGGACCTTGCTCAAGATCCTAATCGTAACAATATCCTACCAGCAATGGGATTTGATCCAACAACCATCTGATCGCGGTGACGCAAATATTTTTAAAAGGATAGGCCTTTTATAAAAATTGGATCAATCGCCAGCTCACATGCACCCGTTTATTCATTTTCCAGAAGTCAAAACTCAGATACTCACCCAGCCTTTTAAGGTTCCATCACAATATGAATTCGTTACTATGTCGATTAAATCTACCAAGACCGAATTTGTTCAAGAGAATCCTATGACTTGTAACACAGGGATACAAATTTTCTACAATACAGAAGAGACATTAAATGAAAATCGTGCAGAGGAATGGGGGGGAAGCAAGAAAATAACAGCCCCTTGACCAGGGCATGAGTTCAAACATTGGGGTGGGTGTGCATTTTCTGGCGGAGCCAGGAACAGTTGTTGTATCATGGTAATACGGTAAAGGTGAAATGGATACCCACTGGCAGATATCAGTGCACCTTAGGAGGCTCCCACCCCTCTAACGGTCATAGCCATGTAGAAACTGCACGCAGTGTTGCTGCTTGCTTAATACCCCCCACCCCCCGAGATGCTGTGCTTTCCGTAAAGCTGTCTTGCAAAAAAACAAAACGCTGGACTTTTTTTCCTCAACAAATATTACAAAGTCACACAGCTGCAGTTTAATGCACTGATGGCATGTATAAACTAGCCTGCAATCACTGGTCATACTGGAACTAAAACCAGAGAAGCACCATTCTTGTCGATATCAAGTCATTTTTCAGGCATTTTCCCTCAAATTGAAAAGAATTTAACTCTCATGTCAGTCAAATTGGTCCTTCCTTATGTACGGCATTCCCTTGATCAGAACCTGCACGTCTGCGGGCATTTAAACAAGCAGGCAGGATGGGAGACACCTAGCGCCCCCCCCCCCCAAGGAGAATTCAGGCATTGTCCATGTTAAAAAAAGCACATCTGACCCCATAGCTACCATTTCAAGAGCATGCTTTAACAGGTCCTTTAAACAGTTTAAGCTGAGGTTTGGCTGCTCCTTTGTGTAATTACTGCACTCTTAATCATGTTTAATGCACTGCATCAGTCTGTTCCGTGAATAAGCAGCTCAAACAGTGCCGCCCAGCACAGGCCCGAGGTGATGCCACATGATCAGTGACCTTGTATACACACTCACTGCCTGCCAGAAAAGCTGTTGCATGTTAAACTGATGGTTACTCTTGGCTGCTCTTATGGAACAATCAGTAATGTCTTAACCACACACACACACACACACACACACACACACACAAATACATGAGTGTGCTTGTATACACCATACACGCATACTCACACTCATCTGAACCATCAAATTCTGCAGGAAATTCACCCAGTCTTTAGGACAGACAGGAGTCACTGGGATGTGAAAAGAAAAGTAGGCACCCCCGAAAGCAGAGCTTGTCCGACTTCAGCCTTGGATGTAACCAGAAAATACACAAGAAATAGTTCCTGGGGCAGTCAGAGGCTTAGTGGGCTAAGTAATCAGAAGCTTGCTGGTTTGAGCTCCAGCCTCAGCAAAATAATCACATGACTGTGGGCCCTTCAGCACATTGCTGAATGTTGGCTGACCCTGTGCTGTGACCCCCAACCTACAGAGCTATAGATTTTGTAGGCGAAGAGAAGAATTCCAGTGTACGTGTGCAAACAAATAAAAAGGATGAGGATAGGATTATCTTAAAACAGCTCACTGAGTACACGATGGTCTGCCCATCTCTAGAAATTGATCTACAGATGTAACAATCAATCATGCTGAGGTGAGTTTCCAGAGAAAATGTGAATAAGGAAATTCCGTCCTCTTTGCAATAAGCAAAGTAATCATTGTAAGGGAGGTCCACATACTTATGGCCATATAGTCTATATTCAGCTTCTTCAGCTTCATGCATACTTTTTACAGCACCTGCAGAAAGGCACTTCCTTATTGAAACTGAGAGCACATAAAGGCTCAACAGCAACAAAACAAGCATGCAGTGACTCCTCTGAGTCGGGCCTTCTGACTGAAGTGCGTAAGCGAGCGAAGGCCTGTGGTCTTCGTTTGGGCTGTGTGCAGCCTTCCTGAAGTCTTCATTTTGGAGCCAGGCGTCATGGGCTTTTTTTTAACCACTTGCTGAGACGCAGAAATCTATTTTTCGGTTTCTGTGTGAACAATGGAGATCTTTTATCAGTGTTTCCTTTTGAAAGAAAGAAAGAAAAACTTTGTTCTAAACAGAATTGCAATATATGGATTTTAAACCAAAAAGAAAGCATATTGTTTTACAGTCAGATGTCACAGTCAGCCACACAATTCACACCTCACTGAAAAAAGCCATCTTATAGTCAGGGCTCAAATACAAAGAAAGATTTTTTTAAATCTGTGACCTATGAACAAGCAGGGACAGCAAACAAACAGATACAGATAACAGGACTTTATCGTGGCAAGTCTACTTCCTGTCTAAAAGGAAATCTGACATTTCTCCAAGTTATGGGAATTATTCTACTAGAGTTCTTATCCAGTCCCTCTGACCACTGCGGACAGTCACATGGGGGAGGGGTTTTGTGTTCATTCTGCATTTTGACCACAGGCAGCAATGGGATCAGCTAGCTTGGGCATGCAGAAGCATTTAGGAGCTCCCCTGACACGAGACATCACCGAGGGCCAGGCAGCCGGGCTCAGGATGGACCGAGACCGCAGCTGAAAGGTTCAGGGGTGCCAGGAGTCACACCTGAGCCCCCAGGGTCACCTCTCCATGTATGGCTGTAATAATGAAATCAGAGTGTTCCTGGCACAAACTGTTAAGTCATGAAAGACAAAGGTATGGCAGGACAGAGGCAGCGGAGACAGAGGTGGTGTGTGTGTGCTGATCTTTTCCAGGAACACTGCTCTGTGCTTTTAGTAAGCCCTCTCCAGTCAGGGAGAAGGCTCCTCCCCTTCCCCCAGTTCCCCACCCCCTCAAGTCCGATCCCATCCAGGCAGTGAACACCCCCCCCCCTCCCCGAACCGAAGCCCCATTCCAGTAAAAGGAGGCTCCCTGGCGCCATGGTTACTGACAAACCTGCAAGCATCCGTGTGCATGCCAGTGCCGGCTCAGCGCGCGTGCCAGTGCCGGCTCAGCGCGCGTGCCAGTGCCGGCTCAGCGCGCGTGCCAGTGCCGGCTCAGCGCGCGTGCCAGTGCCGGCTCAG